TAATAATAATAATTATAATAACCCTGCAACTGGGTTAGAACCACTTCGACAAACGGGTTAGCACTACTCCAAAAATGGGTACACCCACTTCGGCAAGCAGGTCAGGAAAGTGAATTAAGAGTCTGAATTCGGACAATGTTTTATTGCTAATTATCCGGTTATTCGGATAGATTATCCGGATTTTGCCCACCTCTAATCAACATCCAAGATGAGGTATTGGTATTGTTCCACAATGACTGTCACATTCAAATGAAATGAAACGGTGAAAGTGAAATGGTATGAGTTAAACGCCCCTATCAACACTATTAGGTTATTTAAGGGGCGGGGGCCTCCTATTTTAACGTCCGTCTCCGATAGGACCGAGCCAAGTGGGAAGTTTGTGTAAAGTGCCTTTCCCAAGGACACAAGGTCGGACCGAGGTGAGGCTCGAACCCCCGAACCCGCAATCTCACGATTACGAGTCCGGTAGCCTAACCACTAGGAAATTCGAATGTACAATGCGTGTGCGCTTCTACTATTAGTTATACAATTTTGATCTTGTTTGTTTGCAAAAATAAATAAATAAATAAATAAATGAATAAATAATAACGCAGGGAAGTATAAATTACAAGTATTTTTCCGCGTTGCATCACAATCCAAAACTTGCTTGACATTGAAAAGTAAGTTTCGCCTGTCACTCGGGCAAAATTTAAAATTTCCTACCAACTGAAATAAATGGTTAATGTATCCTGCTCGCTCATAAAATGACCGTATGCAGTTGCGAGCGCAGTAAAAAAACAACAACACTGACCCAAAAAAATAAATAAAAGTAGTAGTGCACGGCAATAGCAGCATGCTTTGTCTACATTACTCCCAATATTTCTTTTCTCAATTTCTAAACCATTAATCCTTCCTTTTGAAGAAAAAAAAATACATGCGATTAATTTTCTGTTCCCGTTTTAGGATGAAAGCTGTAAATCGTCTGCAAGCTGTCACATCGTCCTCTACGGAGTAGCAGCTTGGCCGTTTGCTGTCCTACACAGGACGCCCAAGTTCGATTCCCCAGGTGCAAAGATGATCTTCTTTATTAAATATCTCAGTCCTTCTGCTGGGGAGATGTGACCCTCTCAGCCGGGGCTGGCCCTGACAGAGAAGGTGGGAAGCCCGCCTCCTAAATGATCTAAATTGTAGCGATTTGGGTGTTCAAAACACCTACTTTTTAAACTCTTTAAGCCCTGAGTTTTTTCTACCGTTTCCCGGAGTTTTTTTCAACAGTCACCTAAACTTAGTGCCCTATGTCTCATTATAACCCCAAAAGCTTGCCTCCAACTTCAAAATAGCGGAAACAAAGTCTTAGTCATTACAAACCAAAAAAAACTTGGTTCGGGAACAGTTCAGAAAAACTTGACAAGCAAAAACTAGCACTAAATAAAATGAAACATTACTTGTCACTAGTACTTGACCCTCCCTGCGTCCGGTGGGGTTCAAAGAGTTAAAAAGAAATTAAATGAGGGAGTACTTACAGAAGACCACTTGGTCCCCTTACAAGTAGAAATAACTAGGAAGAGATGAATGCAGTTTCTGTGACATAGAAGGAAGGGGTGGGGGTGGGGGCTATGGGAACAAAGTCCTGACAAAGGGGGGATGGGGGGATAATGGGAACAAAGGTGTTTTTTATAGTTTTAGTAAGAGATTTACGGCACTTGCAACACAATAAGGTTATATAAGTGCCCAAGAATAGATGTGTAAACAAAAGAGTAGCATACACAAAAAAGAAGGAGGGGAGATAAGGACGACAGATGTTTGATAGGAAAGAAGGAGCAAACCACACCAGAGCACCCGCCAACCACCCACAACAAAAGTGTGACAATGGGG